TTTTTCCAGGAAAAATTTAGAAATTTGGTTCTCCCGTTACCAAAAAACGAAAATTCCCGGGCAGCGAGCGTTCCCCCCCCGTGCCAAACGGGTTTGTCCCGCGACCATGTTCCAATTCAAACCCTCCCAAGTTATTTCAAAGCCCAACCCAAACACCATCTTTTTTCGTTTCCCGAAAGACCCCCCTTAACCCCCAAACATACCCCGACCAGGTAGGGCCCCCCGCCAACAAACCCCCCGACGCCACCCCGGACGTTCCCCCAACCTTTTTTTTTTGCGGCTTTTTAAAAAGGATTATATGGAAATTCCACCCTTCTCCCGAGCACCATTACTTTTCCCCCCCCCTGATGTTTTTCCCGGGGGGGGGGGGGGGGGCGTACTCTTATGTCTTGCATGCCTTAGCGGTTAGACCATGGACCACGCGTCCTCGAGAGGACGGAGCATTGTTCCCACAGGACCGATAACCGATGGCCAATCGTTCCTTCCTACTTTGCCAAAGGTGACTCAAAAATGTCTTCCCTAGTCTATCTATCCTAACGATATAACTTCCCGCCTTTTCAAACCACTTCCTACTCCCCAGTACCGTCTTCTCCTCTCTATTCCATGCCTCAAACATCTCCCTGTACCTCCCTTGTGATTTTCCCAGCTCAGTCATGTACACTTCCCTCTCCTTTTCGTACAACTGACATTCCGCGACTACATGAACACGGTCTTCGCATTCGAAGCCGCAATCACATTTGAATTGTCTTCGTCGTCTACCGTCCTATGTCTTCGTCGACGTTCTCGCAAGTCTACGTCCCCGGTCCTGAATTTGACCTTAAGCTTTGTCCCTGCATCCATTGGTCCGTAGGTAATCCTTGAACCCTATGCCTTCTTTCAACATTCCGTACACTTCTAGACCCTCCTTATCCTCGGTTTTTTTCCTTAGATTATGTTCTTCTCTTTCAGATTCTCACAGGGGGACGTGTTGAAAAAGGGTTTACAGCAGTAGTGAGAGGGTGTGGGGGAATGTACTCAGTGGATGTAGACTTATTTGCGAGCAAGCCCATGCGGCCAAAACACCAACCTCAGGAAGGCGAGGTTTTCATGCTACGTTTCCATAGAATTTGCATCGCTCCGACACTGCTGTGCTCTCATGTCCTGAGCCCACTCCAGAGGGATCCTACTTCGGGAAAATATGCATGGCGATACTTGATATTTCGTCCCTGCAGCCTGAGTGCACGGTGATGTTCAGCAGGAACCAGCGGCAGCCCCACCCTCGTCGGAAGCGCCGCCTTCGGGAGAAATTAGGTTCACGCCTGTGCATATGAGGAAATACAACAGCGAGGGGGTACGCAGACCCTTATCCCTAACCCTAACCCAACTCTGCAAGCTTATATCAACCCAACTTTCGCATGCTATATCCAACATGTTCAGCTAAACGACAAACCCAGGGGCAGCCCCACCCCGTCGCAACCCGTTGGGGTGCTACCCCCAATACGTACGTAAGACAGACAGTAGTCCCTGCTGGACTTCCCTGCTTTGATTGGACCGCGTCACGCGCTTCACGTGTCCTCTCTCTGAATCTGATTGGTTAAGCCGAAGCTCACGCGAGCATGTGTCGACACGTTTGTGGAAAGGCACGTGCGTGGGCGTGGCCCGAGCACTGCTGATGAACACAACGGGTGGATGGTTGCTGATACACTGCCAACTTCTCCGATTTCTTCGGTCGAGCACAAAGCACAAAGGGAAGATGAAACACAAGTGGCAGTTGCTCATGAGCATCAATCAATACTGATTTCACGTGCTCTAGGCACTCGGTCCCCACGGCTCGGACAACGCGCGTGGGCCACGATAGACGGCGGTGAAAGGGTGTGATCTCACGACGGGTGCATAGGGCGTGCCCACCAAGCTTGTGCCCACAGGCATTGATGATGTGTGCACGTGTGGGGGGTGCTGCAATAACAGGTCGGGGAAACCAAGCGTTGAGCCAATGGAAGGAAGATACTTCTTTCCGCCCGTGTTTCTCGCCCTCGCAAGGTTCGCCCAGGTGTTGCCATACCAACCGCTTCTACGAGCAATAGCAGCTTTGCATCGGCAGTCTGTATACCAGTAACAACCTGCCGCTGCCGAGTTGTGCTAAATAGCGCTTGGTGCCAAGTGCGGAGCAAACGCAAGCAGCAGAACAAACCTCTCCTCTGAGTACACAGAGGTACAAGCAGTTAAATATTGCGGTCGCACGAAACTGAGAACATACCAGTGACATTCGTTGGCCGCGGCCGTGCGCGCTTAATCAGCTACACCTCAGCACGGCAAAGACAAGCGAGCCACCTCCGTCCGAATCACCTCCGACCATCCTAGAGAGTACCTCACCTGGTCTTCAAAGGTAGTAAAAAGTCCTTTTCCTCCCCACACACCCTGTGGGTCGTGAGTCGTGAGAGAGCGGCAGGGTTAGTGTTCCAAGGCGTATGTATCCCTTCCAAGTCGACAATTCCGTCTCCTGCAACTTCTCCTCTCCTGTCTCTCGCTCCCTGCTGTGCTTGCCCCCTTCCTTGAACTGCGTCGTTCGGCCCCCCCCTCAAACACTCTCCCCCTGCTTCGCGATGTGCACACGTTTGTTCCGTGGCTGGCTTGCAACAAGTCAGGCCGGTCAGGGGGCACCGTGATGCAATAATCACTGCCGCACACCCCTACATTCTGCAGTTCGCGAAACATGACTGTCTCTCTGTTTTGCTCGGCTGTCCGTGTATTGTTTTGGTGACACACGGCCACGGACGGAGAGAAAGCCGAAGACAGGGAGGACTGAGTCCCTAACCGCCATCCTAGGTATGTTTCTGGCCAGGATAGGCTGCTCGGGTGCTACCTACGCTAACGAACTTGCACCTGGAAAGTGTCAATAGAACGGGCGCGTTGTGTTGCAGCAATTAGAATGACCTCCAGAATACGTGCTGCAAGTATCGCGCAAAGAGAGGTTCACTGCCCCACGAAAGAGTGCTGATGCCTCACGGGCCCTCTCTTGCATTTTCCAACTAGTCCTCTTGCAATAGTCCTTTCAGCGTGGGTAGTTGTCATGGCTCCAAGTCCCTCAGGGCCAAAAAATAAAGTGATATTTTGTTTCTTCGACAGGACAGAACATTGCCTTTGGGCTCCGCCGCGCACACCGGTAACGGGCGGTACAGCTAACGAGCTAACGGTAGCGGTAGCGGTGCCATAAGAGGGAGGGGGGGGCGGAACAATAATGATGTTGCTGCGAAAGACGCGCACATCTCCTTTTGTGCCTTGTCTTTGTTTGTGGTGAGCTGCCGGGACTGACTGGTTTGCACAGCAGCAGGGGGGGCCTGCTCTGTTGTATCCAACCCGCTGTGCGCTGATCACGTTACGGAGTAGCAGTCGAGAGCAGACCAAGCCACACTTGCACACTTGGTGTACTACTGCTGTTGCTGTGTACACAAGGGAGCGTGCCCCAAGATCTGTCTTGCAAATAATTTCAAATACAGCCAAGTTGCAAATAGATTCGGCTGTATCATCAGGCAAGTGTGGAGGGACGTACAGTACTTCGTCGGCAGAAAAGCCGAGCCCCCCGCATGAAACCCACCGCGGGAAATTCCTGTTGGTAGACATGAATGGCTGCGGGGTTGCAGATACCTACCGTTTTTTTACCCTATCCTTGGGGATAGCAGCGTTTCTTTTGCGCCCTTGGTTGTTTGTCCAAGACCAATAATCATTGTTACCTATTTCTAAGCTTTGTTCCTCTTTTAGAGGCGAGTAACCCTCCCTTGCCACCGCGTTGCGCCGTCGCGCCGTCGTCGCACGCTCTTGTTACGCTACGGAGGAAACAGGCGTACCGCGCGCGCGCCGATTCAAACCACCGACCGCAACATTCTCGACCGAAAAATCTCATACTAAATCGACTACATCACCGACCGCCCTGCCGGCCTTCACCGACGCGGCAACAAGGGAAAAGGCTCCTCTACACCTCCCCCAGACCCTCCAAAACCGGTACAACAGCCGTCAACGACGACCGCAGGCGTTTCGATCAACACACACACACCGAACACCTCCTACGCGGCGTGTATAATCGACCAACCTCTCCTCCTGCTCGTCCCCTGACGCAAGGCTTGCATAATCATGTCGGAGACGACGGCAGGGAAGTGGTTCAACTTGGGAGGTGGCGGAGCGGACTCCCAGCCGGCGTCGTCGCAGTCTAGCCGCTTCCCGTCCATGCCCAACGTCAACATCCCGGGATTCCGGAGGGAGCAGGTGTGTAGTACATCAAGAGTCGGTGTGACGACTGACCAAGCCGCAGTAGTGGGCCTCGCGCCCAAACGGATGGTTGGGTCCAGTGGTAGGTTAGGCCGTTTCAGAACCGCGCCCTAGTGGCAAGTTACCGGCCTGTCGGAAGAGATCCAGGTAACAAGGTTACCGACGTTGTCCTGCTCTTGGCGGGAAGAGGCGGGAGAGAGTTTGTCCGTCTCGCCGAGCCTTTCGTCAAAGTGTCAAAAATGTTCCGGGGCCTGGTACAATTAGAGGTGGGCGTTCGGTACGGTCGCGGTGCGGAGGTGCAAAATTAATCTCGGTAGGGTTGCGGCTACAAGCCGTGCTCGTTCGAGCTGATGGCGCGCACGTACATTGGGGCAGCAAGGAAATGATGTACGCCTGCGGTGAACCTACATACGCTGCTGTTTTTGCTCCATCTGAGCGTGTCTAGAAAAGTTCTTCAGAAAACACCACCGAGTGGAACCACAGCAGCAGGCATGCGTGCACGACGTTTGTTTGGCTGTGCAGGAGAAACAGAACAAGTAAAATCTAATTATCTATCCCGCATGCCGTTACAATCGCTGACGACGACGGTGGTGGGGACGGCGGCGGCGGCGGCGACAGGAACCGACGCTAGCGAACGAGATGTGCGAGATGTGCCCGTCCCTGACCTTCCAGCAGCGGGTGGGGGGCTTCGTGGCCTGCCTCGCGCTGGGGTACCTGCTGTCCTTCCTCAGCACGGTCATGCTCTGGTCCGGAGACCTGTCCTCGTTCGCGCTCATCTACTGCCTCGGCTCTCTCATCGCCATCGGCGCTACCTCGTGAGTGAACTCTTTATTCTTTTCTTCCGCGTTGTCTGACGGAGGGCTATCGCTGGCGGTGCATTTCCTGCTGATATACGTACCGCAGGAGGAGGGGAGGGTAGAGAGGGGCCCCTTCTGTGTGACCACGGGTCGGAGTAAACGGCACTAGTGCTGTGAGCACTGATTTGAAGTGAAGACAAATATATATATATATATACCATTCCGTAGGTGACACTAGATACCACACCCCCTGGACCGACTTTCAAAGCTTGATTACTCCACGACGAAGAGAATGCCGTCATCGGTTGGCGTGTTTTCAGGAAGAGCTCTCGACGAGACGGTTCCAACGCCTCCCGACATTTTCTTTTCGGCACCGGCCCTCTTTCTGCTGACTGGAGTATTCGAGCTTTGAAAATCGGTCCAAGGGGGTGCGGTATCTTTGTGTCAGCTACCTGGTTGGCCACGCACGATTGCTACGTTTTGGCCACGTCGGGAGAATTGGGCGCCGTTTGCGGCGGTCTACGACTGTTTTCTGGGGGGTCCCCTGTCGAGGGTAGGATTTGGCAGAGCAGTCTGATTTGTATGGGGGATATTATGGTGGAGTCTCCGGATATTTCTTGCCTCCGTCGGCACCAAACCACATCGTGTATTGCAGTGTGTCTCCAAGCAGAAATGGCTCCTCAATTCATTTCATTAGCGTTCCGTCGTGAATGGGTTTTGGGTTCTGCGCGTGTTGCATTGAATTGCTGCAAGGTTTTGTATGTTGGATGGGCAATGCTGTCGTGAGCAGCTCAGGAGATCTGGTATCCCCGGCATCAATGTGGTTCTCGGGCTCTCTCGCGCTCTCGTTATCCTGGCCTACACGAGCATCGTTTTTCTTGGCCTGTGCCCTCCGCGTGAGGTCCTTTGTGGTCCTCAATGTTAGAAAAACAACCTGTGTAGACCAATTAATGTGCATACACGGATTGCGTGCACACCCGGAAGGATTGGTAGGTAGATCGAATGAAATATATTCTGGAACGGAGAGTCTCCGATCGACCCGCAACGGGTGAAGAGAAAACACCCCGTTTTGAACACACTCTTGCTGAGTCCTATCGCCTCTTAAGGAAAGCAACTCTAGGACACGATCGCCGTTTGAGAGTGTCCACGCTGTGCTAACGGCTGTTACTGCTGCTGCTGCTGCTGCTGCCGTCGAACACGTGGCGCAACGCCACACCGTCCGTCCCAGGTTCCTGATCGGCCCTCGTCGGCAGTGCGGCAAGATGTTCCACAAGAAGAGACGGATCGCGTGCGTCATCTACCTCGTCTTGCTCTTCGCGGTCATCATCTTGGCCTTCCTCGTAAGTGGAAAAATACATATTAATAATAGTAAGAACGGACGAGGAAAGTCCGCCGCCGCGCGCCCCCATAGCAACCCCGGTGCACTGACACGCGTGCTTGGTAGTCTCAAACTCAATA